AGTCACCACTAGTGTACAGTACCCCATCTTCTTTAGTCACCACTAGTGTACAGTACATCTTCTTTAGTCACCACTAGTGTACAGTACATCTTCTTTAGTCACCACTAGTGTACAGTACATCTTCTTTAGTCACCACTAGTGTACAGTATCCCATCTTCTTTAGTCACCACTAGTGTACAGTACATCTTCTTTAGTCACCACTAGTGTACAGTACATCTTCTTTAGTCACCACTAGTGTACAGTACATCTTCTTTAGTCACCACTAGTGTACAGTACATCTTCTTTAGTCACCACTAGTGTACAGTACCCCATCTTCTTTAGTCACCACTAGTGTACAGTACATCTTCTTTAGTCACCACTAGTGTACAGTACATCTTCTTTAGTCACCACTAGTGTACAGTACATCTTCTTTAGTCAGTACCACACCACTAGTGTACAGTACCACTAGTGTACATCTCTTCTTTAGTCACCACTAGTGTACAGTACATCTTCTTTAGTCACCACTAGTGTACAGTACATCTTCTTTAGTCACCACTAGTGTACAGTACATCTTCCATCTTCTTCTTTAGTCAGTCACCACTAGTGTACAGTACATCTTCTTTAGTCACCACTAGTGTACAGTACATCTTCTTTAGTCACCACTAGTGTACAGTACAGTACCCATCTTCTTTAGTCACCACTCATTACATCTTCTTTAGTCACCACTAGTGTGCAGTACCCCATCTTCTTTAGTCACCACTAGTGTACAGTACATCTTCGTTAGTCGCCACTAGTGTACATTACATCTTCTTTAGTCACCACTAGTGTACAGTACCCCATCTTCTTTAGTCACCACTAGTGTACAGTACCCCATCTTCTTTAGTCACCACTAGTGTACAGTACATCTTCTTTAGTCACCACTAGTGTACAGTACATCTTCTTTAGTCACCACTAGTGTACAGTACATCTTCTTTAGTCACCACTAGTGTACAGTACATCTTCTTTAGTCACCACTAGTGTACAGTACCCCATCTTCTTTAGTCACCACTAGTGTACTTTCTTTAGTCACCACTAGTGTACATTAGTGTACAGTACATCTTCTTTAGTCACCACTAGTGTACAGTATCCCATCTTCTTTAGTCACCACTAGTGTACAGTACATCTTCTTTAGTCACCACTAGTGTACAGTATCCCATCTTCCTTAGTCGCCACTAGTGTACAATACATCTTCTTTAGTCGTCAATAATGTACAATACATCTTCTTTAATCACCACTAGTGTACAATACATCTTCTTTAGTCACCAATAATGTACAGTACATCTTCTTTAGTCACCACTAGTGTGCAGTAGTCATCACTAGTGTACGGTACATCTTCTTTAGTCACCACTAGTGTACAGTACATCTTCTTTAGTCACCACTAGTGTACAGTACATCTTCGTTAGTCGCCACTAGTGTACATTACATCTTCTTTAGTCACCACTAGTGTGCAGTACCCCATCTTCTTTAGTCACCACTAGTGTACAGTACATCTTCTTTAGTCACCACTAGTGTACAGTACATCTTCTTTAGTCATCACTAGTGTACAGTACATCTTCGTTAGTCACCACTATCTTCTTTAGTCACCACTAGTGTACAGTACATCTTCTTTAGTCACCACTAGTGTACAGTACATCTTCTTTAGTCACCACTAGTGTACAGTACCCCATCTTCTTTAGTCACCACTAGTGTACAGTACATCTTCTTTAGTCGCCACTAGTGTACATTACATCTTCTTTAGTCACCACTAGTGTGCAGTACCCCATCTTCTTTAGTCACCACTAGTGTACAGTACCCCATCTTCTTTAGTCACCACTAGTGTACAGTACCCCATCTTCTTTAGTCACCACTAGTGTACAGTACCCCATCTTCTTTAGTCACCACTAGTGTACAGTACCCCATCTTCTTTAGCCACCACTAGTGTACAATACGTCATCTTCTTTAGTCACCACTAGTGTACAGTAAATCTTCGTTAGTCGCCACTAGTGTACATTACATCTTCTTTAGTCACCACTAGTGTACAGTACCCCATCTTCTCTTCTTTAGTCATCACTAGTGTACATTACATCTTCTTTAGTCACCACTAGTGTGCAGTACCCCATCTTCTTTAGTCACCACTAGTGTACAGTACATCTTCTTTAGTCACCACTAGTGTACAGTACCCCATCTTCTTTAGTCACCACTAGTGTACAGTACCCCATCTTCTTTAGTCACCACTAGTGTATAATACGTCATCTTCTTTAGTCATCACTAGTGTACGGTACATCTTCTTTAGTCACCACTAGTGTACAGTACATCTTCTTTAGTCACCACTAGTGTACAGTACCCAAACATCTTGGGTTGATACCGCTGTACAATATTCCATGTTCTTGAGTTGGTACTAGACTAACAGAATAGTACCCCAGCTTTTTGAAGTGTCCTCAGCACTACACACACGACCATGATCAAAGCTTCATTGGATTTTACTACTGGTGTGGCCATAACAGTATTTTCTTGTCATGGTTGCCACAATATATGTTATCAAGTGAAATGCATAGGTACATTTAACTGTCTTCGCATACGTTTTATATTTTCAGCCAAAATCAGGCTGTAACTACATGCCACACTGAGACTCGATTTTGCGGTTTGAACACTGTCAAAATAAGTTCGCTAAGGCTGGACATGAGATCAGAATTTTAAATCTCGTTTTCTTATAAATTCCAGATTCTAATGACATGGACAAGGCTAATCACATCCATATGGGGTCGTAGGTGTCGGGATATTGGCCAGACATTTCCCAGACAACCACAGCATAATCCTTCGTTACGACCGGAGATGTTTGAGCACGGGCGGGACTGGACACTCGATACGGCTGAGGGAGAGTCAAGAGCGACGAGACGATCAATGATAAGGGAGATGAGAAGAATTATGCGATGATTGAATTATCTGAGTAATGGTAGAAATAAGTGGATTATTTACACTAGCTTACAGTTCAATAATCACAGAAGCTGTCTCATTGATGTTTAATGTATTTCCCGTTTGATCCACAGGGATTTGACACGTATTCAGGACCCACAGTTCATATAGATGTATTCTTATCACTATAATATATATACCGTGCGTCCAGAATTCGTATCAAATCCCTGTGGTTTGATCAAGTACTTTTCAGAATCCCGCGTTTGGAATTAAGCAAGTTTTTAATCAAGTCTGCCAGAGCACCAATAAATTCTATAAAGGTGAATTTATTTGTTTATTAATTCATTTTGAATGTGATTATGTTTTAGTTGTATCAGTAAAACAAAATCCGTCAACTCACGTGAGATTTTATTTCTGTATATTGGAATGTCAGGAATATTGCTTTTTATAAGCACTTTAATTTTGTTTGTAAATAACAATAATTCTTTCATAACTGTAATACAAACGGTCATTCTAATACAAAACTTTTACCTGTGGAACATTTCTACTTTTTCTTAGATAGCATCCTAATTTACAGATTCCCCTTCAAGAGACCCCGCAACTTCAGAAATAAGTCGATATTTAGCGTACGAGGTCGAATAAGTTTAAAAAAAAATTAAATGGACATTTAATTAATTTATATTGCGAGTAGAAAGTAGTATTTATCATTAAAATGTGAAATATTTCTCGATAGATCGATTTAATTACAAAAATTCAAATAAATAAATAAACAGCAGAGCCAAACTTCTAAACAAACAAAGTGACTCATTCTGGTTGTAATGAAAACATTGCACGGTACGAATATATCTCGGTCACGAAATTGCATTTATTGCTATCCCGGACGAAAACAAAATCCTGCTGCTTGCCTGTTTGTGTCCGAAATACACGCGCGTGTCGTATTATCAATTGACACGAATCGTTATAATTTCAACTAATTTCAGGGTGTATTCCCGTTTATTATATAAACCTTTAAATTGAGCGACAGTCCGGGAGAATTAATTTCCGATTAACGGGCGATAAGAGACCTCTCCAACTACTTAGCTGGGTATTTACACAAGCACATATGGCATCTTAGAAGTATAGCGCAGCAGAATTATTTATTTAGCGATAATGTGCACTGATTGGCTAATTAGCTCAGACCGATTCTGTTAACGACGCTTCTGATTGGATGCTTCGGTCTTTTGCTTATATAAATATTACTTTCGCCAGTCCGCGTGGTGCTATGACCTCAACAGAAGTTTGCAAACATTAAGAGTTGTTCATGATATTTTTATACAAACAGACACCGATTCGAGAGGAAAATCTCCCCGAACACCCACCTTGTGAATCAACACGCTTTGAGAATTTGTTTTTGTAGAGTGGAACTGTTTTTAATCATTTTCTGTGTAGTATTTTTGTGTGATTTTTTAACCCCCCTGATTACTGACAGACATATCAATGGCATTGCAAGTGAATTTTTCGTCAGCTACAAATTGGACTTTTACTCACGCGTGATACGAAGTTCATTCTTAAAAGTCAAACTTTCTTGAGCGTTTAAATCGAATGAAATATGCAATGTGGATGACATAAACAGCTCAACACTTTTTATTATGTTGAAGTGAGTGTAATGAATTGAACATTGATGTCTAGTTTCTTATGGAAAGAAAAGAGAGAAATCAGAGGAACACGTCGTAGTGATTATATTCAAAAAACGCAAATAAGGCACGTCAAAAAGGATGACAAATGGATTGTTTACAGGAAAGTTGTTGATTAAATAATGATGATCTTCAAAAACAACAAAATCTTAGTAGAACCATTACGCGCGAAAGAATGTTCAAGAATATGATTATGAACCCAAGTGAGTGGTGACGGTGGAATTTGGTACACTTGCGTTGACAAATATGAATTATCGGTTCCGCAAATGTGAAGACTACGATTCGGAGAATTATACACTTTCTAAAGGAATATTCAAAATAACAGAAAAGACGGTAATCAGACGTTAATGTCCAGTTTTATTGAACAATTAAGTAAACAGACTGAATTTGGCGAGTGTTTTAATGTACGACACAACAATGTTTGGTCAGATGTATCCACAAAAAATGTCATCCTCATCATCATCTTCGTCGTTCTTCATCCGAGATATTTTAAGACCGGAAAGTAACACTTCTAATGCGACGCCATCCGGAAGGTTCTACCCCGGGATGGACCAGCCATTAATGGGTGTGTCGCAACCCTACCTCACCCCACCTTTTCATAATGGTACCGTTGGGACAGTGACCAGTCCCACTTTGGGAATGACACCATACCAAGCCAGTTTTTACACAGCAATGCAAAGGGGTATTTATTTATTTATTTATTTATTTATTTACTTTCATTTGTTTATTTATTTATTTGAAAGCGAAGGCATGGAGCTATATTCCTCTCAAGTTGTTATCCGATTTCCGTACATTTTCTTATTTTTGTCACGCTCATTATAATAAAGTTTCAAAACGCATTTATAATTTGTGATGAAGAAAGGTGCTGAAGTTAGCCCTGTTGAAGAAAGGGTCGCATGATTAGTCTAGAATGTTGTCCCATCTAATATATTCCTTCTAACGGGAGTCGTTTCTCATTTTCCTAGATAAACATCCAATGCATGTCGATTTACTTTTCTGTGTCCCTGTCCAGGATGATAATGATAGAATGTAGAACGTATAATTAATTGATCAATCTATATGACAGCTCCGCAAATTTCAGGACTGAACTATATTTTGATTTAGAATAAATGATAAATTAATTTTTTTTGTAATGGATATTTCAGAATTACTGTCATTGTCTATGGCAAATAATACTAAGATAAATTAACATTGTACCTAAATCTTAACGATGAAATATAATTTGATAAGAATTCTTGCAGATTTATGTTTTTTCCTATTGTATATATCAATACTAAACATCAGGTTTGTAATTGTTCATATATTTATAATTAAGGACATTGAAGGTTTTTATATATATATATATATATGAGTAATGTACACATATACATCCATTCTGCACATTAAATCAAATAATTTGAATTACAATGAAATACATAATTGTTCATTTTTTTCAGTTGGAATACTTATCTATACTTATGTGCTGATATATAGTTAAGCTTATTCTAAAATTGTGTATAATGTTTCGGTAAAATTGTCTCAAATATACAAAATACGCTTTAATATATATATATATGTCCCCTCCGGACCATATACAGTGTTAGTGAAAGTAATTTCAGTCTCACAGGTTTTTGTATTAGTAAAATATCCAATAAATATCATCTTTGATAAATGAGTGATTTCAAAATTATCCAGATCCTCAATTATAATTAATAAACATAGATAATACCACTGTATATCTATATATTATATATAAAAATATATTTCAATGATAGGCATCTATTTGTACTCCAGAAATCTTTAAAATTGACACTACGGTTACGTTTTATCTTTTGATTTACGAAATGTCTTTACATTTTATAGTGATATCGTACAAAAATATAAAACACGGCAAAATAGAAATGACGACTTACTGATTAATTGTCTGAAAATCAGATAATTGAATGGCCTTCAATATCGGTCATCGTTAAAAACAAAAACAAAAAACAAAAACAAAAACAAATACAAAAGACAAACAAAACAAAACAAAAAATATATCGAAAAACTTGACAAATGCATCAAAAGTAGCTGATGTTTTGAAAAAAATTAATCTAATTGGTTGCCCTCTACAGATATATTTTGTGACATTTTTGATCGTGTGCCTTTCTCAGTGTATTGTGACAATCTTTTTGATACTGTTTTAAATTTAAACCGAAAAGTCGACTCAAAGTCAATAAAGAACATAAACATCTGTAGCAGGAATAACTTTGACCGTTTTGATTGAATTATTAATCAATTTTTAAATTAATTTTTTGTGAATATATATTCTCTTACCATTGGTCACATTTTATCATTTTCTTTAACATACATATTTCACAGGATATATCATTCGTATTGAGACTATATCAAAGCAACAAATTACAAGTGTATGTCCTTATCATTTAAACAAATATATCTACATTTTTGTATACATCTGTAGGTTATTGTTTTACAAAATAGAAAACTCGCGTGAATGAAACAATCTACATACACTGATTTATATGGACGCTAACTTGGTAAGCGCGTGTTTTCTTTGGTTCTAAATTATACGTCAAAATGCCTAACAAAAGTACCCACAGGAAACACGGGCTAGTGTTTCTTAGGACAATCATATTGTTTGGCAGATAGTGCTTGATATTTATCATTTTCTTTTGGTATGACAGGATTTCCACTTGATAGTATGGTGGACCTGAGGGACGCCATGACAGTGCCTATTCCACTTCCGGTTTATATAAGGTCAAGATCGCAAGAGGACGCGGAAAGTTTGATGAAGCCGAGAAAATGTCGACGGAGCCGGACCGTCTTCACGGACCTACAACTAATTGGGCTAGAGAAGCGTTTTGAAGGACAGAAATATCTCTCAACGCCAGAGAGACTAGATTTGGCAGATAGTCTTGGGCTCACACAAATCCAGGTCAAAACTTGGTACCAAAACAGACGGATGAAATGGAAAAAATTGGTAAGGGCCGATAACTCTAGACGAATTATGATATGCACTTAAATGTTGTGGATCTGTAACGTTGGTTACATAATGGACAAGAATATGTTAAAATATGCAAAATAAACGATACATAACTTCTCAAATAAAAAATATCTGTTGATGTATTTAATTTTCTATTGAATTTCTCGCCCTCATGATACTGACTTCGATATTTAAGACTGTGTTTACCCTAGAAACGAGTAAAGAACTCCCTCACTGCCTCGTTCAATGATTAAGGTTTGGACGCATTCAGCTGTACCGAGTCAATGATTAGGCTGTGAAAAAGTTTCGTCGTTTGCTTATAAGATAAATTAGCATAATGATTTTTGTCTGTAAGAATTATTTAGATAAAAAGAAAGGATTTCCGATGTCTGCTCAATCATTGAGTCTAGTCTCACTGCATACATTTTTGTTTGTTTTCGTTTTAACAGGTCATGCAGAAAGGCGGGTCAGAATCACCGACAAAACCGAAAGGAAGACCAAGAAAGGATAATCCAGACACAGAGAAGGAACTTTGTGAAAAATATCGAACACAAGAACGATTGGACGAAAGTCCACCAATAAGAAATCACGTTAGTAATGACAATAACCATCCAGAATCAATTTCACAAAATCTTGTTTATCAGAAAGTTTTCCACAAGCCATTATCCGGGTGAAGCTGGTGCTCACAAGTGTAAATAAAAATCATCTAAGAAAAGCCGGTGTGGAAATTTAATTCATTTGTTAACCTTTTAATGGAATACACAGGCTGTGACGTCTCTTTCTAAACTGAACTAGTAAAAATTCAGTAAATATAATGTTATCAGAAATTACGAAGGATTTTAACACGTCCTTACATACACTTTCATTACGACCATATACATAAATATCTCCGAAAGTGCTTTGTGATCGCTGGTATTTCACATCTGTATACGGCTAACATCATTTCAAGATTCTTGAAAAACTTAGTGACGCCTGATTTTTATCTCTATCATTATTATTATTTAATCATATTTTATTATCAGAAACAGATATATAGATCAGAGACAGGTTCTAGCTACTTATGAACTCTTCTCCATCACAAATTACAAACAATTAATGTACTGCACGTGACACACATTTATACTATAAATATGAATGCGAGTTTAAATAATTTTATCAAAAGGATGAGAAGATAGAAAGAATAAAGGGGAAAGTGGCTATAGATTTTACTTCAATTAAGTGCCGACTACAAACAGTTCAGAATCAGGTAGTATTGACAAACAGTTCAGAATCAGGTAGTATTGACAAACAGTTCAGAAACAGGTAGCATTGACAAACACTTCAGAATCCGGTTGTATTGACAAACAGTTTAGAATCATGTTGTATTCAAACGCTTTGATAGTTTCATAAACTTTTGAACAGATCTAACCATTTTACTATTGGTTTCTTACGAGAAAACGTTAATGTCACCCCATAAGATAGTTCCTATATTAAAAGTTACGTCTAAATTATACAACGTAACAAACAATATACTTTGACGATTAGGAAAAAACGAACATGTAAAGAAATAGTGACCTCATCAATACCATCTCCACACGGACACTTTCTGGTAATGTTATAAGTTTCACATTCCGAACATAAAACAACAAATATCAATAAGATAGACTAAAAAATGTTCATGATATACAGTTGTTGTAGAGAGAGAGAGAGAGAGAGAGAGAGAGAGAGAGAGCATAACATATATATTTCGGGCCACTAAGCCTCAAAGTCCTAACAGAGAACAAAACAGCTGTATGATGCATTTTAATTGATTATTTGACTCTGTCTTATTAAAAATTGTATTTAAAAGTGTGTCTTTTGTACAATCGTTCAAATTGAGAAAGTGGGTCTCCAGACAAAGTTGAAAAGTTGAAAAGAACAAAACTCGCTGAGGCAAACAGATTTAATGATTTAAAACCGAGGTAGAAAATGTCTTGCTGGACAAATTTATAATGTTGGAAAGATGACAAAGGGTGATAAATCTCATGGGCATTCATGGGCTTATGAACAAACGGATAATGCATATTTCAATATTTGATTCAATTGTCATCTACAAAAGGTAATATTGCAATCTTTTAATTTTGTCAAGATTGTGGATGAGTGCACTCCGCTATTGCGTAACGTTACAACGGAGGTAGCCCAGGTCTAAGTCTTCAACGTGCTTACGAGCTGTGGAAGTTAAAAACACAGTGTTCAAACGACGCACTGGTGAAGAAACCTGGTTCATTAAATGCAAATATATATATATATTCTTCTGTTACATAAACATTAAAAAGTTAGGCAAACGTAATCTCGTATACCAACTGTACGAGGGGAGGCAACCTCAATTCCTTTCCATTACTTCCAAATTCATACGCCAGTTGGCAGTTATGAAGTGACATTGCGCAACTACGTTTGTTAAGGTTATATAGTGGAAATACCATGCAGTAGTAAATACAGTTATATAATAATCTAAGGGTTATCCGAACCAAATTATAATACGAAAAAAAAAATAATACCTTGAAATTTCCGGAAAGTAGACGTTTAGGAAAGATTGACGGGTGGATGTTCAACACCATGTCATACTTCCAAAATTTTGGCTGACATATAAAAATAATTCTTCCAAATCTTGACTTTTTGTGTGAATTTGTATACAAATTAAGTACCCATTTGCTAAAAGTGACAGTTATTCGAACGTGCGATAATGATAGCTATTTTCCCCTAGTTTGTAACACTTCTGGTCAACACGTGTCATGAATATGCTAATTATGCCATTTGTCCCGGCCAGGTATGATATTTACACCTAACTATAGACACTCATCTGACACGAAACTGACCAATCTATGGCACGTGACACTCTCGTGCCTTTATCGTTTCTAACACCACTGCTAGAATAAATTAACATCTAAAAAAAGATTCTCAGATATTTGGAATGGAAACGAGACCAATACTAATGCCACACTGAAGTGAATTTCGAAGGTTTTGCATTATTGACATGGACTGACAAGTGAGTAACAAACGTAACTTAAAAAAAATAAGGAACTAGCGTACGATCGAATTTTTTTTTTCGAATTCAAATGAATGCCATATTATCTCCCGTTTACATTCTGTGTTGCCTAATTTGTACATATAATGTATTGTTGTGAGTTAATTCTCTTTACAAATACAGTGTAGTTTATGTCCTATTTTAGAGTGTTATATCTTTTTGTAATTAAAAGTTTTACATCTTGGAACTAGGATGGATAGACAGGAGAAGTATAAACTGCCACCAGTTTTCAATCGTCCATCAGGAGATATTGTGAATTGGACAAACAAAAAAGACACCCAGCGAATAGCCGGAACCGGATTCTACAAGGAACGCATGCGCGCAGACAATAGTAATGGATTGAGCGCATCGAAATCTCATCTCGGAAAGACAATATTATACGGGAATAAAAGCTACCAACGTCATCTCGATTTAAAACTGTCGGACATCGAAAAACAGCGAATACAACGCATGCGCAATATGGATTGGATGCAACTAAACCAATTTCGTCAGATTTCAAGAGAGGGACAAACTCGATGCAAATGGCGAGAACATGCGTTCAGGAAGCATGGTGTAACATGTGGTCAAGACAAATTGCCATATTTGGACATTAAGTCCACTTGTGTTTTGAAGGAAGGTGTGTGTACAAATAATGCTAAAAAGAACAAATCTTTCACGTTCTCAACTCCAAAATCAGATTGATCTTTTGTTACAATGTGATACATAGCGACGCTTACATATAGCCATCGAACTAACATTTCATCTTCGGCCATCGCATCAGGATTACAAAAGTGTAACATAGAGAATGCATGGCAAGTATGTTACAATATAAACTTTACAGAGTAATGTGACTAGTCTTAGAAGAGCCACTTTCGCCTGTCTGTATCAAGCCAAAATACACGTTAGTTTTAATACACTGGCCACGTATTTAAACCTTACCGGTTGATGACCCTAATGACCTTTTAGGTGTTGACGGGCCGTAAAGAATGTCATAATGATAATTTAAACCTGGGGAACATTTTATTGAAAATTGTGACTATCAACGCTTGTTGTTTACACTGTTTATGCCAGGAACGTGCAGACATTCCGAATAATCCAAGTTCCTCACGGAAATATAGTTCTAAATTCATAAAGTAAATCAGGGACTAAGTCCGGCGTATTTAAAGAAACTGAAAAGTTAGATTTCGTTTTTTCCCCCATACGTTTGATTTCGGACAAGCTTTGTAAAATTTAAAATGAGACTATGAAACAATTATAATACTTTTTGAGAAAAATTGAAGATTATCATGTTATCTTCTAATTTTATCTGCTATCTTATGATGTCGTATACATATGTATGTGTTTAATAATTAGGAGCGGGCGATTATAAGTTCTTGGAACTTGTGCCCAATCCTCTTGCAATATTTTGGCAATAAAATATGTTTAAACTAAACTAAGATTATCAGCGGAAAACTAATACCGGTCAATACTTGCTGTTGTGTCTACCGTCTTTCCTTGTTTTGATCGGAGATTGCCGAGTTCGTCACGTGACCTTTCTGAACCCAGCCGATTGGTTGTGATTTCTATGTGCATGCGCAAAGACCTTGTTTCCGCTCTCCGAATGACAATGACACGAATTAATGCTGGGTCGCTCCTGCTTTATTTGAACTTTTTTGACGTTTTTCCTAAAACTTTTAAATAATTTAATTAACAGAAAGTTCACCACTTTTAACAGATTTTAAATGTAATAACGCTTTTAATCAGTTGTGAGATGAAAAGCTAACCATTTAGTCCCTTAAAGTATTTTCTAATACTTTCCGTGAGGACTATGCTAGAAAAAAGTTTCTTCAACGAGCCATAATGCAGTTTATATTTTCAAACAATGACCATACTTATCCTCTCTTTATCCTGCAGAATCTTGAAATTTCAACACATTGTGGCAAACTTACGGTTGACGTTACACGGAAGTAATCCCAGTCACGTGCGCCTTAGTGATATTGCTCCACAAGAAAAAAGTAGATCCGAAATTCATTGAATGCAACAGGAGATTGTGTTACTTTTCCTTATTAGACTTACTCAAAATAATCGCACATTCATGGTCATTTAATTAAAGTATTGCACAGATTTTATGCGCGTGCGAAAAAAATAGCTGTTTTCCGTCACAGCAGACGTATTTAGACAACAGAAGCGCTAGTTGCAGGATTAAAAAATATCTAAGTATAGAATATACCTGTATCATAGCTGGCCAATAATTAAACTTTTTATCAAGTGTTGTATAAACAGGAAAAACAAACATGGAAAAGAATAGAGGAGGTTTTTTTTAAAGTAATGAGACTGCGGCAATAGACCCAGCACACTGTCGCCGATGTTATATGAGAACTCGGATCAGAACAATTAGCTATAATTCCTTTTATCGCCAAACATGTCGAAACGATTTAGGTCGATGTCAATGGTTAAGAAATATTTAATGTCTGTAATGAATATTTGGTGTGTAATTTAAAAATTCAGTTTTCATAATTTCTAGTGATGCAAAGTAATCTACTTTCTATTTCATAGGAAACTCTAAACAATTACCACTATAACCCGTACGTTTTATTTTCTGTTTTAATTGATGTTTAAATTCTATATTTTTTATAATATTTATGTCATGAAATGAAATGGTCACTTTAAGCATGTCCGGTGTTTCAGCATTCACGTCAATCATATATTTTTCTCGCTTTTGTGTGGTCAACACTTCCGGTACTTTAGGTTGCTATGATATAAATATATATTTTCTCCTTCTGTTGTGTTGATAGTATGGTTTAACTATCAAATCTGTGATAATACGACGCTAATTGATACATTTAATAAAAAAAACAACACTACAACTGTTTGGTATCATAAAGCTTTAATAAAAAAAATAAATGTTTATATTTGCACCAATTATATGTGTATCAGAAAATTTACCATAAACAAAGCTGAAAGAATGAATATCAACACAAAAATATCGTACAATAAACACAAACAAAAATCACTGACCCGACATCATGCGGAACATTAGTTATGTTAACATGTCTTATCAGAAACCCTGTCAGACACAAGTTACTGGTCATGTTAACATGTCTTATCAGAAACCCTGTCAGACAAAAGTTACTGGTCATGTTAACATGTCTTATCAGAAACCATGTCAGACACAACATAGTGTTAATGTTAACATGTCTTATCAGAAACCCTGTCAGACAAAGTTTACCGGTCATGTTAACATGTACTACCGTCATGTTAACATGTCTTATCACAGAAACCCTGTCAGACAAAACTGGTCATGTTAACATTACAAAAGTGGCATGTTATGTTAAGACAAGTGTCTTATCAGAAACCCTGTCAGACAAAAGTTACCGGTCATGTTAACATGTCTTATCAGAAACCCTGTCAGACAAAAGTTACTGGTCATGTTAACATGTCTTATCAGAAACCCTGTCAGACAAAAGTTACTGGTCATGTTAACATGTCTTATCAGAAACCCTGTCAGACAAACGTTACTGGTCATGTTAACATGTCTTATCAGAAACCCTGTCAGACAAAAGTTACTGGTCATGTTAACATGTCTTATCAGAAAGCCTGTCAGACAAAACTTACTGGTCAGGTTAACATGTCTTATCAGAAACCCTGTCAGACAGAAGTTACTGGTCATGTTAACATGTCTTATCAGAAACCCTGTCAGACAAAAGTTACTGGTCATGTTAACATGTCTTATCAGAAACCCTGTCAGACAAAAGTTACTGGTCATGTTAACATGTCTTATCAGAAACCCTGTCAGACAAAACTTACTGGTCATGTTAACATGTCTTATCAGAAACCCTGTCAGACAAAACTTACTGGTCATGTTAACATGTCTTATCAGAAACCCTGTCAGACAAAAGTTACTGGTCATGTTAACATGTCTTATCAGAAACCCTGTCAGACAAAAGTTACTGGTCATGTTAACATGTCTTATCAGAAACTCTGTCAGACAAAACTTACTGGTCATGTTAACATGTCTTATCAGAAACCCTGTCAGACAAAACTTACTGGTCATGTTAACATGTCTTATCAGAAACCCTGTCAGACAAAAGTTACTGGTCATGTTAACATGTCTTATCAGAAACCCTGTCAGACAAAAGTTACTGGTCATGTTAACATGTGTCAGACAAAAGTTACTGGTCATGTTAACATGTCTTATCAGAAACCCTGTCAGACAAAACTTACTGGTCAGGTTAACATGTCTTATCAGAAACCCTGTCAGACAAAACCTATTGGTCATGTTAAGAAGTCTAACAGAAACCTTGTCAGACAAAACTTACTGGTCATGTTAACATGTCTTATCAGAAACGCTGTCAGACAAAACTTATCTTTTACAGACATATTGTTATATAAATGTGTTGTCGGATTATGCAAGTTTACTGTGCTCTTTGCAAATAAGGAATGAAGATTTGTAATATACATGTTCCTGTATATAACTTATATACCCTTCTTTACCATGTCATACTATTGTGTAACATCCTATATCAATATATATATATATTGTGCACCTGTTACAATATGTCTAAATATGGGAACATTATTTTTTGTAATCTTATTCTAGTTAATGAATAAGAAAGTTTTGAATCAGTTTTCTTTCATTTAAAGCCTCAAAGTAAATTTCAAAATGTTAAAAGTTCGAGAAAAAGGTTTGAATTCACATTTGATGTAAATGCAAAAAAAGACATATTACAAATGATTAGGATATATATATATAATATCGAGCATTGGATAAAATATCATGAAATACATTTAAAATCAATATATATAGCTTATATAAAACATCAAAGATAAATACATTGTTGTGACAGTAAAAGTTTTAAACGGTCAATTTAATGGGGTTCATCCATATTTCTTACATAACAACGCTGTACATTCACAGTGAGTTATTTAAATGACAAGATTTGACGAGACAGATATACCTTTATCCGGTAAAGCATTTATTCGCCCATGTTATCTTTCACAATTTCATAATATTTATGCCAGAATGTATGACGTGACTTCTATATGTTAAACATTTATTCATTGTTGAACTATGCTGTTGACAAAATATACCCTAATTAGGGAAAATGACCTAATATATACAAATACGTTCATGTTCTTTCGTCATTTGTGAAATGATTGATGAAATATATATATATATATATATATATATAGTATTTCATAACAAAAGCAATTTCCACAAATGTGGCCATCTTTGAAGTTCTGTACATTCGGAGTCTATTTTAAATAAAGATATATCGAAACAAGACATAAATATTTTGACTTCGACTTGAGACCTGAAAATGTGCTTAATACTGTAATATGTACGTGGTTTCTGCAGAAAATACATTCTGCTTTTCCCTCTGTAACAGACTTTGAACCCGTGCTGAAGATAAGAATTGGAGTAGCAGGCGGAAACCAATAGGTCAATACTTAGTCAGTCACTTGTGGCGACCAGTTAATTACATTTGTTTGTTCATACAAAACGAAAATATACTGTAGGCGAATTTTGCAGACATGAGACGTTAACCGCTGTATTATGAGACAATCGAACGTGTATAAGACAAAACATAACACTTCAAATGCCAACAGACGGTGGACATATTCATCTACAAATTACTTACATACTAAGTAGCTTAAAATGACGTCATCTTTCTATAGGCGTTTCCGTTACTCCACGTTCAAATACTCCCCAGAGAGTGTTATAAAGTGTTCTTTCTTATTCTGAAATCGGCCTCATTCGTAAACTAGCGGACAGTTCTTTCATAGTATGGTCCATGTTTATGAAACTGCTGTTCCGAACACCTTGTTTCCGGTACACATGCACCATTTGTTCCCGGATATTCTCTGAGCTAACCTGTCGTACTTTTGGAAGCGGACACAGAATATCATTGTCGGCGACGGTGTCGGAAGTTGTCGGAGCTTCCCGAGTGATGGCGGAAGATACGGCTTTCATTCGTATCCAGTTTTTACCGTTCACATCTTCGTCATTTCCAGTAGCCGACTCAATAGCGTCGAGTAGAGACTGTAAATTCTTGATTACGGACTCTGCATGCGGTGTAATATCAATTTTCACTTCTTCCACTTCCGCCATCTGCCCGTAACTCTCCATAAGTCGCTGAAGGTCCGTTTGTCCCTCGATGAGGCGAGTGCGGGATTTCTCTGCGCGACCTGTTTTTAGTTCCTCCGCGGCCTTACTTACAGCTACCTGGGATAAAATTCGAGCCTCGTGCATGTATATGTCTTCTAGTGCCTCCTTTTTCTTCGATTGGTCATTCGTCGTCAAATCACCCAGAGTTACGTCCCTTGTGACATAACGTCGCTTACCGGATACACCCGTAAAATGTATGGTTGCAGTTAAAACAACGACATCCGGATTTTCGCTAACTCCCGAAAGGTCTATAACGATACCGACGTGTTTCTCCGAAGCTGCTTGGATATCATAAAAGAAATACGCCTTTTCGGTTTTTTCACCTTCTGCCATTTTATGTCCGCGCAGACGTACCTTATTCTCTTGGGTACAGTCGGCATTGATAATCGTAGCACCGTTCAGAGATGCGACATGAAGGGAAACATTCCAAGCTATAGCAGTCTTTCGCATCATGATCGGAAGAAACAAATCAACATCTGATTTAGATGACTTGTCAGTGTCGAGGTGATAGAATGCGTCACTGCTGCAGAATTTGGACAGAGAGTACATGATCTCAGATGGACTACTTCCGGTCACTACTGTAGATATGGACACCCATTGGTTCTGTGTGTTATCTAGGCCGAACGACATTGAACGGATCTTTTCGCGTACCTCGTGGACCAGTCGCTGTGGTTCCTGTGTCCCCATGTTAATCTCGCCGTCCGAGAAGACAATGATGCTGTTCCGGTAACTGAGAAGGTCATTCTGGCTGTAAGCAAACAAACAAATAGACGGGGTCAGTATACAACAAGGAGATGATAGGCGTTGTCGTAATTACATACATGATTACCTTACCGGTAAAGGCTTAATAGAAAATATGAAAATATCTAATAAGGCATCAACTATAGGATACAAGTTTTTAGACATGTCCAGATATATAGTCAAATTGTGAATAAATAAGTGTTCAATATTTTGAATTTTCCAAAACAGGAAAGGTTGAATAGACTTCTTCCCATAATTTCAAAGTTTGATTTAATTTCGTTTTGTGAATTGTTGGAAGAACTGCGGAAGTAGAATACTTCGGGGAGACTTTGTAGTAGGTCTCCAGAAGACATAAAAAGTTCCTAATCTCACATGTGTGTCTCTCCGGAAGTACCACAATCCTCTGTGGGCGGAAAATAAAGGGAGCATTCAACAATTGACCATTAAAACTAACATTGGGCGTACCTTTTGCAGACACGACCAAACACATCAAGGGAGGTAATTAGGCCAGCACTCAGATCTGTTTTTTGTGACAGGAAGGTTTTGTCCAGCGCGTCTAATTGTCTCGTCAGCGTGTCCTGTAAACAAACCGGAAACGGAAATGAGTCATTGAGAACGGCATCAATTTTCTAAGTGTATGTTGAAGTTTGAGGATATACAAGCGTGCGATTATAAAGCATTGACTCACGCACAGGAAGAGTTAAGTGGTCAAATAAAGCGCCTTTTGAAACCGATTTTCATTCCGGTAACTTAAATTCAGCTTTAATAACTGACACATCAACATCATCTCGATTTATCTTCATGAGTAAGGAAACAATTTCTATCATAGCTTCATCTGACGCCAAAGATATCCTTATTAAATAGTAACCTGTGTTCGATCGTTAATCTCCGTCATGGGAAGCAGAACTTTAGTATCTTCCCCGAAAGTCACTAGTGCCGCCTGATCACCGTCGTCTAGAATTTTAACCATTGACATGACAAACGCTTTCAGACGGTTAAGTTTACTTCGTCGTGTTCTGCCCACTTTGATCCCCATACTTCCGCTCGTGTCTACCAGCAGCAAAATTCTAGCCGGAAGTGGCTTCACTACATCTTGGTGAGCTGTCGTGAGCTCTAGGATGATCTTCCCCTGCAATGGCGCAAATTTACTTTTTGGTGTAATATGTCCTGTATAACAACACTTGTTTGTTAACAATTAAAATACCTTGATAAATGTTCTTAGGATTTTCTAAATATTCCTGTCATTATATTTTGATACCCTGAAATGTTAAATTTGTTGAACATTTCCCCAAATATGTGCCTTATACAAAAACATGTACCCGCAGCTGTTTACAGTAGATACGTGCACTGCCATTTACACAGATTTTGAACTGAAATATCTGGAATTTCGATTATACTTCAACACCTGTACTAGTTATCGGTTCGAACTTAAGAATTCTATTTTCAATTTGATATTTCGTGATGTATGGTACTACAAACCTTTCCGTCTGTCTCTAGACACGAGACATTTAGCTCCACCTCGTGGTCACCTGTGTTATCTTCCTTTATTTTTACAACACGCATGGTTGTCTCCCCTTCACTTAAACTTCGCTGTGTCTTTGGCTTACTTCTCTGTCTCAATGGAACATCCGGGGCCTCTTCGTCCGGTATGGAATTATGTCGGACATTCATTACAGAATGCTTACCGTTTGTGGCTAAAAACGTAGAAAGAAATGACAGCGGTATAACAAGAAATCTTGGAGGAATCTTGACGCCTGTTACTCAATTATCGACTTTTGTCATTTACTGATATGTGACGTTTTCCTTATTTTTCTTTGATCTTATTTTTTCATTCAGTGATTATTTGTTGCATTGACAATTGACGAGGTTAAGAAATAACACCAGTTTTTAACTACATTTTTCGAAACGACCAATCCCAAAGCCGACCATATCTAACAAATTATAAAACGGAAATAGCGATAGCAAATTTCAATCATAAAAATTCAATATGGCTACCTCTTAGTCATAACATTTTTTTTCTGATCGCTCTAAAAACTGAGTTTCAATTAAGGCAACCCTCAAAATTTGAATTACCCATGAAGAAGTTTATAAGAAAAGGTGAAAATCAAGCTTAACATTCAAAATCCAAGATAACCGCCATTTGGAATCTTTTCTGATGAATATCAAGACCTGCAGATAAAATCTGAAAACGATCCATACGGTATTGACAGTGTAAAACTAACATTGTCTCTGTAATCTTAAATAGCCAATATGATGGAGCTCAATATAAGGCATGCATAGCTGCAACTCAATATGAAATGTCAATACAGTCTCCACGAAATACTTTCAGTAGTAGCGCGGACGATAAGTAATTACTAAACTCCACCAGCATAATTATCTACCGTATCAGTGAGTTTCTGGAGTTGCAGACAGGTTTGCAATGCAATTGACCCTCTATATAAAGAGTACCCGTATGTAAAGTAAATGGTTACCCTTTCTTCCTTCCTTTAGTGGCCTGTTCAGAAAGAATTGACTGCAATTTGATAATTCGGTTGTCTTTACTGATAATTGATTTTTTGTACACTAAATCTCGTTTTAGGGGGGCGTGGGGTTGTTAAAACTGTGTACAGACACAAAACAAATTAAGTTTCATGAATACCACGTGGTAGACTAATAAAGTATACATGAATAATATAGAGGCAGTACACAAACATACGTAGATGTAAGATTCCACGTTTATTCAGAATCTGTTTGTTTCGGGTTTTTTTTTTTTGTTTTTTGTTTTTTTTATATATATAAATTCTGGTATAGAGTAACATGCATGAAATATATCGGGATATACAAGTAATTTTATCAACAAAAAACAAGCTTTCTCGAAGTCATTATTGAAGCCTGAGTAGAATTTGGAGAAATGTTTTCGGAGAGAGGAAAAGTGCATAAAGACAGGAAATGACATTATATGATGTCACGTGACATACCCACGGGCGCCTCATACATGTCGTCATCTGGGTCAGCTGTTTAAGAAGTGTTTGGTTGAGTATTGGTAACAAGAACACATATCTTTATTACATATACTTCAATGTATTTTGACTTATCCTGCTTTTAGAGTTAGAATGAAAATATGTAATATATTGCAGATGCTGCGCTAATTCTAGGAAGTTACAAATATCAGTTATATCTCAATTATTCACTCCCAACTCTAGCCTAATCCACACACAATCACGATTGGACAGGAGAAAAGGACAACATCGCCGAGAATAAAGGATACATTCTTACATCCAAATGGCACACCCAACAAGGACAACATCCCTTTCACATCCAACAAGGACAACATCACTTGCATACCCAAAAATAGGACATCCCTTGTTTTCCTAACGAAGCTAACGAAATACCATAAATTAGATCAATCAAAAGATTCAAAAATTGGCATATGAAGCCTTATGGTAAGGGAAAAGTAAAAGTAGTGAACCCCTTTATGTAAATCGTAGTATATAATACTAGAATGGGAGAGAATCTGCTACTAGAATGGGAGAGGATCTACTATTGAAATGGGAGAAGGTCTAGTACTAGAATGGGAGAAGATTTACTACTAGAATTGGAGAAGATCTGGTACTAGAATGGGAGATGATCTACTACTAGAATGGGAGAGGATCTACTATTGAAATGGGAGAAGGTCTAGTACTAGAATGGGAGAAGATCTACTACTAGAATTGGAGAAGATCTGGTACTAGAATGGGAGAAGATCTACTACTGGAATGGGAGAAGGTCTAGTGCTAGAATGGGAGAAGATCTACAACTGGAAAGGGAGAAGATCTAGTACTAGAATGGGAGAAGGTCTAGTACTGCCATGGAAGAAGATCTACTACTGGAATGGAAGAAGGTCTAGTACTAGAATGGGAGAAGGTCTAGTACTAGAATGGGAGAAGGTCTAGTACTAGAATGGGAGAAGGTCTAGTACTGCCATGGAAGAAGATCTACTACTGGAATGGGAGAAGGTCTAGTACTAGAATGGGAGAAGGTCTAGTACTGCCATGGAAGAAGATCTACTACTGGAATGGGAGAAGGTCTAGTACTAGTATGGGAGAAGGTCTAGTACTAGAATGGGAGAAGGTCTAGTACTGCCATGGAAGAAGATCTACTACTGCCATGGAAGAAGATCTACTACTGGAATGGGAGAAGGTCTAGTACTAGAATGGGAGAAGGTCTAGTACTGCCATGGAAGAAGATCTACTACTGGAATGGGAGAAGGTCTAGTACTAGAATGGGAGAAGGTCTAGTACTAGAATGGGAGAAGATCTACTACTGGAATGGGAGAAGGTCTAGTACTAGAATGGGAGAAGGTCTAGTACTAGAATGGGAGAAGGTCTAGTACTGCCATGGAAGAAGATCTACTACTGGAATGGGAGAAGGTCTAGTACTAGAATGGGAGAGGATCTACTATTGAAATGGAAGAAGATCCACTATTAGAATTGGAGAAGATCTAGTACTAGAATGGGAGAGGATCTACTATTGAAATGGAAGAAGATCTACTACTAGAATTAGAGAAGATCTAGTACTAGAATGGGAGAGGATCTACTATTGAAATGGAAGAAGATCTACTACTAGAATTGAAGAAGATCTACTACTAGAATGGGAGATGGTCTAGTACTAGAATGGGAGAAGGTCTAGTACTAGAATGGGAGAGGATCTACTACTAGAATGGGAGAAGGTCTAGTACTAGAATGGGAGAGGATCTACTATTGAAATGGAAGAAGATCTACTACTAGAATTGGAGAAGGTCTAGTACTAGAATGAGAGATGGTCTAGTACTAGAATGGGAGAAGGTCTAGTACTGGAATGGGAGAGGATCTACTACTAGAATGGGAGAAGGTCTAGTACTAGAATGGGAGAGGATCTACTATTGAAATGGAAGAAGATCTACTACTAGAATGGGAGAAGGTCTAGTACTAGAATGGGAGAGGATCTACTATTGAAATGGAAGAAGATCTACTACTAGAATGGGAGAAGGTCTAGTACTAGAATGGGAGATGGTCTAGTACTAGAACGGGAGAAGGTCTAGTACTAGAATGGGAGAGGATCTACTACTAGAATGGAGAAGGTCTAGTACTAGAATGGGAGAGGATCTACTTTTGAAATGGAAGAAGATCTACTACTAGAATGGGAGAAGATCTAGTACTAGAATGGGAGAAGGTCTAGTACTAGAACGGGAGAAGGTCTAGCACTAGAATGGGAGAAGGTCTAGTACTAGAATGGGAGAAGATCTACTACTAGAATTGGAGAAGATCTAGTACTAGAATGGAAGAAGATCTACTACTAGAATTGGAGAAGATCTAGTACTAGAATTGGAGAAGGTCTACTACTAGAATGGGAGAGGACGAAATATCCAACAAATTTTACTATATAATATAGATATATGAATGAATATTCTCTATGAATTGTCAACTTCAACTTACGTGCTAACATGTCTTCAGGGAAGTGGACGCCGTGAGGACTACGTTGCTCTCGTGATTTCCGCGGTGGAAGTTCATTCGTGGTAGTTTTATTGAAAGCTTGAAAATAAATAAATATATAGGTAAACAAACAAATAAAGAATTTATTCAGAAATGTTCGTGAAAAGTAATTTGATCGGTTGTGAATTAGCTGTAGGTTGAAAGGCCTAAACAGTTACCGAGGGCCTGTAAAAACTCGACTGATAAAGAAATCATCTCGATAGATAGACAATTTTAGCTACAATGTAAACAACAAATGAAAACAATCTGAATAAAATACTTTAGAGAAGGGGTCAAAGTTATAGTATTCTTCTGCTGGAACCTGTAAATTCAATACAACTGCCCTGTTAAATAGATTGTCAACTTTTCGCTAATTTAGCTTCGTGGCCCCACATCACGAGTCAGTGTGATAAACATATATATAAAAGCAACTGAATGCCCGTCCATCCACGAAGAAAGTTTGATTTTACCATATCTGGGTATTGAGAAAAAGATTTTTGAAATTTTAGTCTCTTTCATCTCCATTCCTGAAATGGTTGGAAGACTACGATGATGTTTGTCAAAAAATAAAATGTGTTACATTGTACCGCTTATAGCAAAGAATCTCGTATGTGATCACTTCATCAAATATTCAACAACCGTAGGGTTAAAATAGTGGGTAGGGTTACAACAGAATGTAGGGTTATAATTGTAGGTGGGTTACAACAGAATTTAGAGTTATGATTGTGGGTGGGTTACAATAGAAGATAGGGTTAAAATTGTTGGTGGGTTACAATAATATGTAGGGTTTTAATTGTGGGTGGGTTACAATAGAATGTAGGGTTATAATTGTGGGTGGGTTACAATAGAATGTAGGGTTATAATTGTGGGTGGGTTGCAATAGAATGTAGGGTTATAATTGTGGGTGGGTTACAATAATAGGTAGGGTTATAATTATGGGTGTTAAACAGAGATACACAATCGAAAAAGGCCGAAATCACATTAGCAGACAAACTTTTATATTCATTCATGCAGGAATATTCATGAAATAAAATGCAAAACATCTTATGAATTTATAGTAATATGTTGTATATATTTATGCCTTGAATAAATACAAAAGTCAAGCGTCTCACATCAACATTCTTTTATTTGATTCGGATTGTGGACTATTATAAAGACTGGTAAATATTCAATAAAGAAATAAAACACAAAGTTGGACATATCAATAAAACACATGAACATGCGCCATTTTACATCTTATAATTAGTGGAAATCTGACAGTTATGTATGGAGATATGGATACAGAAATGAGACAAATAACAGATAATGTTGAAAAGTTTTAATTCTGAATTGAAACACATACAGCTTATAAAACATGTTAAATAAATTAATCATTTAGATAAGTAATTACATCATAGCTTTAGAATAGAGAATATTGAATCTATATGTCTAAATACAGAGACTTTGGACAGCAGGACAACATATATGTATATACACATGGTAAAATACAGTATAGGTATTGTTATATATATCTAGTATAATGGTATTTGATGGGATTGTATTTTTAATAAAGCTTAACACACAATTAAAGCGCATACATGTACGGTCACGTGACTTTAAAAAATAACATACTTGATATGACAATAGGTAGAAATTGTTTTTAAACTTATTTCATTCAATATCTATCGATTTGGCTTAAACACATTTTAGTTTTTTACAAAAAATGTTTGGATGCAGGTTATTTCAGTACGTGTATTGTTGTAGACACGATAATTGAAAAATCTCACAGATTTCTCTGTTTTCAGCATACATTATGTGTTAAGCTAAAGAAAAACAATGAGCATACGGGTCTTATTACGTATAGGTTTACGTCATCGTCATGCACTTGACTTACTCCCGCTGTCGGAGGGGAACCCTGACGAAAGTCTGGGTTTTGAAGGTCTGGAATCTGGAATTGACTCGGTTTCCGTCATTGGTGAAGAATCTACTTTCACAATAGTGGGTCTAACCGCTGGTTTAGTATCAAATTTCATTATATGTTTTGCAGCATTCTTTAAATCCCCTGACATTGAGAGTAGTTTAGACATGTGGGAGGTTCCGGCCGCTTTTGGCAGCTGTATTGCTTCGGGCGTTATGACTGCCGGTGATGAATGGACAGATTCTGACGTCACTCCTGCTTTCGGTGCACGTGTTGACTCTGAGGCAAAGTCTGATTTAGGAACACGTGTCGACTCCGACGTCGCCTGAGATCTGGACGCACGTTTCGAACCTGACGTTATGTGTGTTCTAGGTCCAAGTTTGGGCTCTGTCATGGTTGACCTTGGGTTTCGTTCTGACCCTGACGTCATACTTGCTTTCGTCACAGATTTCGGTTGCGGTTTTTCGGTAGATCGAGCTGCTGACTTGATTTGGGGAGGTGAATCTAAAGATGACTCATCGTATATATCCCCTCCATCGTCGGTCATATCTACAAAATAACAAAAATTGTTCTCTACTCAACATTACAACGTCAGAAAACTGTACAGGGAAAATTTTACACTGAGTAAATAGCTTACTCAGCGATCAAGAACTCGTTGTTTGTGGCGTTTAAATTGACCGTTCGATTTGTTTTGTGCCGTGTGACTATAATACCACGTGACTTACCCGGTACATCATACAAGTCGTCTTGGTTCCCGTTGTCAAGGTCTGCAAAACATTAAAAATTACATTATCAAACATCGCAATTTTTTCGTCTTATTTATATAGGTAAAAAGATAAAGTAAAATAAAAAATGTGAGTAACGAAATCTGTGTTCACTGAAATTTTATCACGTTTGAGCAGATTACTTGATATTACATGAAAGCAGTATTCTTAAAGGTCAACACTTTAAGGTATCTTACGGTTTCACACAAAGTACATTAAGATCTGTGTGCATTTTCCATTTACAATATAAATCCAGCTGATGGCAGTTTTCAAATTCAAGGTTTTAATTCTCGTTAGGATTTTTTATCAGGTCTTATGATCCAAGGGTTCCGCTGTCGATGTGGATATTATATCACCCTTAAAATATACCAGGACTTAAGCTATTGGTCAGCTTTTTCCGATGTCTAATACCACGCTAACTATTGACCAGTCAGCTTGCCACAAAATACATTTATTTTTTTTCAAAATTATACAAAGCGAAACCCTTGGATTTAGAATTGATATAGAATTAAATATGTTGTCCTACCTTCTTCTTCTGGTACATCATAAATATCACCGTGCTCTTCAGTCGCTGTAAATTAACTTATACGTGAACGGACATTCAACGTAAACACATATGGTTAATAAGGTTAGAAACGTTCCGAAAAAATGATTATGTAAATAAGTTTATAGGTAAACAAATGAAGACGAGGTACAAATGTCGGTAGAAACGCTCCGAAAGGGTGATTATGCAAATAAGGACACTGGGATACAAACATGGACGATGTAGATAGAAACGCTCCGAAAGGGTGATTATGCAAATAAGGACACTGGGATACAAACATGGACGATGTAGATAGAACCGTTCCGGAAGAATAATTGTAAACTAGCATAGAGACAAACACAATCGGACGAAGTCAGCAGATGTATTCTTAAGTTTTGTAAATGTAAATCACGTATGTAAAACATTCGGATGACCTAGTTTGTTGAAAGTTCTAAAAATGTATTCATACAGGATATATGTCGACGAATACGAATTACGTAAACGGAAATATTCTGAATTAGTTATTTTGTATAATTATGTAGAATTGAATAGGTTAAAAAGTGATAAAGTAGGTAGAAGCGTTTCGAAAAGATGGCAATGTAAATGTACATTTATATATATATATATATATATATATATATATATATATATATTATATTTTCGGAATGCCTTAATGAACAACATAATGGAGGTCTGTCGTATACCGTCCGGTTCAAGGCTACATCCACGGCAGCAAAGACTGGTCCGTTTCTAAGCATCCTGCGAAACACAATCTGATACGGGTAGGTAGCCTCGAACCATGCACCTCGGACCTTCACCTGAGGTTACGACGTGACCCCTTCACCTGAGGTTACGACGTGACCTCTTCACTTGAGGTTACGGCCCCTTCACCTGAGGTTACGACGTGACCTCTTCACCTGAGGTTACGACATTGCCCTTCACCTGAGGTTACGACATTGGCCTTCACCCTGAGGTTACGACATTGCCCTTCACCGGAGATTACGACGTGGCCCCTTCACCTGAGGTTACGACGTGACCTCTTCACCTGAGGTTACGACATTGCCCTTCACCTGAGGTTACGACGTGACCTCTTCACCTGAGGTTACGACATTGCCCTTCACCTGAGGTTACGACGTGACCTCTTCACCTGAGGTTACGACATTACCCTTCACCTGAGGTTACGACGTGGCCTTTTAATCATATGGATGAAAGCAGGTAAACTTTGAACAGCTGATTGAACAACAGTATGAAATGTTTTTCTCGACCTATATTTACATTAAGGGTGCCAACTGGTTAATAAAACAATCAAATTGCACTGGTCCAATAGAATACTTGACTTCCCTACAATATGTAAATGCACACTAGCGCACAGTTAGTTTCAGATTGTTGGAAATGACAAAATTTATTAGTTTATAAAAGTGACTTTGAAATATCCTTCTTACCCTGAGGTAGTGGGACGGGAGTTTTCCCGGAGTGTTTCTTTGATCTTTGCTCTGTTCAAAAAAATAACAAAATACACACATGCCGATTTCTTCTTTCATCTTTTCCATCACTCAACTCGTCAATCTGTATTTACAGACATTTTATATGTAATACCTTGTCCGAGTCAACTCTATATCTAGAAGCATGAATAATGTGTTTTCCAGTAGTTTTTACACACCCTCAATCAACTAGCCGATTTGTTGATCCTTCTGGTACAACTAATATTTAAGTTTTAAAAACAAAACATTTACATTTTCTTTTTTTCGCATATGCGCAACTTAACGATCTGAAATCATATTGTGATTGAAAATGGCACAGACAGTAATAAAACGAAATAAGTAAATAAAAAAAATAGATTAGAGTATACATATGGTAATTGAGATATTTGACATTTCCGCTGACATTAAAAAATCAAATAGTATATTTGAACATAGATAGTTCCCTTATCAATATCTTTATCATTTTGTACGAAAAGTTTCTACTTTAAGCAAGATCGAATTCTCACACAATTTTTGTTAAACATATTTCGTTTAATGAAAAAGATGTCACTGAAGAACCGCTGTTTACACAATGCCTTATCCATACATACTTGTATGCTACAAAATACACGCCTATGTATACCTTCACGTGCTCTAGCTGTGAGTAGATTTTCATGTTTAAGACATGTCAACCGGAACCGGAATATAGTTTTCATGGAAAAGAGGACGTGCCTTGTTATTAATGTATATAATGTTATGTTCCAGGAACCGGCTGGTGTCTCTGTATTCTATAACTCACCAGACTTCCTTCGGTGAGATGATTCCCGCGGGAGCCGAGGTGGTTTTTCCGGTGGTACATCTGTGATTTGATATTAAACGACAGATATGTTTAGTTTCATATCACTGAGACGTTATAATTATCATATCTGACGAGTAAAGGTTAAATTGTTTTAAACAGCATACGTGCATTACGCTATAATTAGGTTTTATCATGCTTAACGTTCTATCAACAGCTATGAGCATCTAAGAGCAGCCTCCCTATATTGTACAGTAAGCGCATACGTTTTCATGAGACTGTATGTTTATATAAGTTTGCCTGTGACAGAGCGAAATTAAATACCACTTTATAACGCTGAAGTGTGCTATCTTATGCCTACAATAAAACACTATCCGATCTTATTATATTCAATAGTTGCTACACAGCCATACTGTTACACGTTAAGTAGGGAGTAAGCGGGGCAGACTCGGGGTCGGTTCAAACATATTTTATTAATTAAAAAACAATCAAAGGGATTTGGGCACAAGTTCTGACAACTAAATAGGCCCTCTGCGTACAAGACATTACTAAAGATATCACGTGATGACAAAGGGGTTCAACATATATATATATAAACTACTAAATAACATGAAATAGTAAGAAGAGAAGGCAAGAGCGGGGAGGGAGGTGACATAAGGGGACAGGAGGATGTGGGTGGGTGGGGGTTCTGGTTGCAGCAGCTGTACACGAGTTTGTATCAAACCTCTTACTTGATTTCATAAAATACCATATAACAAGTACTATGTTACTATTTGTTTCATAAGGAAGATCAACATCTCCCTATAAGACAATATCCAGTTGGGGGACTAGGTAGATACCAATGTTTGACAGAGCATCAAACAACCTTGTTCGAGAATAGAAAATTTCTTACAGACAAAAAAATAATGGTACGTATCTTCATCACTGACATTCAGGTGAAACAATTCAAAAGTAAATCACCAAGACCACTACATTTTTGTCTAATTCGTCCTAAAAGAACAGAGACGTGTCGGTTACCAATGTGAAGATAATTTAGTAAAACACGAGGTACTGCTGATATTTTGGTGCTGAATGTAGAATTTGATTTTGAATTTGTCACAGAATCATCGAGAGTATTCCATATATTAATTGAAGAAGGGATAAAAATATCTAACTTACAATGTAGACTCAGTAAAATGAACGAACCCAAAACCATTATATATATATATATATAGGTATCACCAGTCTGATCAATCAAAAACAGAACTGGAATAAAATTATAAAATCGATGTCAACAGACAAAGAACTGATAACATTTCTACAGCGAGGAGTCATTTGAAACCATATTTGTCCAATCGAGAGATTTGCTTTCTTGACAAGTATTGTCAAACAATACTTCCCTATGAATATTTGATCACACAGTGTCACTTACCATCAGTTTGTGGAGGAAGAACTTTTACAGGTGATTTCTGAGCCATTTCTGGTGAAAAAGATGTAAGGAATTAATGGTATATGTTACCATTATCGACTCGAGACTCCGAAAACTGCCGTTAATTTGATTGTTTATAAGTTGCTTTTTGATGGAACAAGTCGGTTCTTTATCAAAGCAGTTGTGTTTAATATGAGATATCGCCATGTTACCAATTATATTTACTTTATTTCCAACATTGTATGGACTTAGCAGACAGCTTCACAAGTTACAATCTTCGGTTCCTGACGACTGTCTTTTACAGTAATTTTTCTATATTATTATTAGTATCATCATTATTACATTCTTAACGGCCCGTCAACACATAAAAGGTCATTAGGGCCATCATACGGTAAACACACAGCGATCCAAAAGGAAATAACATTAAACAAACCAAAAGGTAAAAGATAAATGTTAAAAATCTTAAATGGATATGTTTACACAAAAGGTTAAAATGCTACGTCATAGTCTATTATATAGACCAACATCTTTCATGTAATGCAGAATTGTACAAATCTCAACAGTTTCAAAAAGGGATTTTAGACATGTGATGTTACGATAAAAACATTCTCGAGTAGACAGAAGGTCAATGCAGTCCAATAAAAAATGTTTAACTGTAATTTTTGTATATAACGACAACACTGACATACAAAGTCACAACATGTTTTTTGTGGTGAGGCCGGATAAACATACATAGTAATATTTTAGATTTACAAGGAGATATTAGCGGTTTTATCTGAAAATAAATCCTGATCCATGGTGAAGTCATGGCAAGGATTAACTGATGGAGATTATTTCAGAAACGTCATTATAGATACGTATACAAACTAAATGGAAGACTATAAAAATAATCAAGAAATTGATAAAGGGCATCAATTCAGAAAAAAACAGGATAATACAAAATAAATAAAGTATCTTCATCTTATATTACATCAAACATAAACAAAGTATAGGACCTGGGGTGGGGGAGTACAAAGTATAGGACCTGGGGTGGGGGAGTACAAAGTATAGGACCTGGGGTGGGGGAGTACAAAGTATAGGACCTGGGGTGGGGGAGTACAAAGTATAGGACCTGGGGTGGGTAGTGCAAAGTATAGGAACTGGGGTGGGGGAGTAAAAACAAAACAAAGTATAGGACCTGGGGTGGGGGAGTACACACAAAACAAAGTATAGGAACTGGGGTGGGGGAGTACAAACAAACGATATAAATGTATTGCAATAGAATTTAAGGACAATTAGCTACAGAAGTGACATGAAAATAACAATGGACAGCTGCAGGAACTGATTTACAAACTAACAGGGCAAGATAATAGTAGGAATAGAGGAGACATCAAAACAATAGGAAAGCCAACAACAGGAACTGAGGAGACATCAAAACAATAGGAAAGTCAACAACAGGAACTGAGGGAACATCAAAACAATAGGAAAGACAACAACAGGAACTGAGAAGACATCAAAACAATAGGAAAGTCAACAACAGGAACTGAGGTCACATCAAAATAATAGCAAAGCCAACAACAAGAACTGAGGAGACATCAAAACAATAGCAAAGTCAACAACAGGAACTGAGGGAACATTAAAACAATAGGAAAGTAAACAACAGGAACTGAGGGAACACCAAAACAAAAGGAAAGTCAACAACAGGAACTGAGGTCACATCAAAATAATAGCAAAGCCAACAACAAGAACTGAGGAGACATCAAAACAATAGGAAAATCAACAACAGGAACTGAGGAGACATCAAAACAATAGCAAAGTCAACAACAGGAACTGAGGGAACACCAAAACAATAGCAAAGTCAACAACAGGAACTGAGGGAACATTAAAACAATAGGAAAGAAAACAACAGGAACTGAGGGAACACCCAAACAATAGCAAAGACAACAACATGAACTGAGGAGACATCAAAACAATAGGAAAGCCAGCAACAGGAACTGAGGAGACATCAAAACAATAGCAAAGTCAACAACAGGAACTGAGGAGACATCAAAACAATAGCAAAGTCAACAACAGGAACTGAGGGAACACCAAAACAATAGGAAAGCCAGCAACAGGAACTGAGGAGACATCAAAACAATAGGAAAGTCAACAACAGGAACTGAGGAGACATCAAAACAATAGGAAAGTCAACAACAGGAACTGAGGGAACACCAAAACAATAGGAAAGTCAACAACAGGAACTGAGGAGACATCAAAACAATAGCAAAGTCAACAACAGGAACTGAGGGAACATCAAAACAATAGCAAAGTAAACAACAGCAACTGAGGAGACATCAAAACAATAGCAAAGTCAACAACAGGAACTGAGGAGACATCAAAACAATAGCAAAGCCAACAACAGGAACTGAGGAGACACCAAATCAACAGGAAAGTCAACAACAGGAACTGAGGTAACACCAAAACAATAACAAAGTCAACAACAGGAACTGAGGAGACACCAAAACAATAGCAAAGCCAACAACAGGAACTGAGGAGACATCAAAACAATAGCAAAGCCCACAACAGGAACTGAGGAGACATCAAAACAATAGCAAGTCCAACAACAGGAACTGAGGAGACATCAAAACAATAGGAAAGCCAACAATAGTCACTGAGGAGACATTAAAACAATAGGAAAGCCAACAACAGGAACTGGGGAGACATCAAAACAATAGGAAATGATTAGACATAAAAACAATAGGAAAATCAACAACTGGAACTGAGGGAACACCAAACCAATAGGAAGCCAACAACAGGAACTGAGGGAACACCAAAACAATAGCAAAGTCAACAACAGGAACTGAGGAGACA